GACGCTGCACAAATTGCATCTGGGCCACTGAGTGTGGGTAGAGAGAGGTATGTGAGCCTCCTCTCCAGCGTTCCTCCCCCTTTCTGCCCTCTCTGTCCTTTCTAATAATTTGAAATAGAGCCGCTCGTTTTGGGGGTTGGGGGCTCTGGCGAACCCTCCACCAGCTCAGAGTCCAGGCCAGGGACGGGGAGAGCGTGTTGTCCCCAAGGTGCTGGGGCTGAGGGTGGCCTGCTGGGCTGAGTCCAAGTTTCTCCTCTTCCCAACAGTTTGGACACGGAGGCCCAGACTCCAGGATAAGGCCCTGCTGGCCAGTGAGGGTCAGAGGGTCTCCTGGGCATCTGTGAATCCCCAGACTAGCCACGCTGGCCAAAGCACAGTGGCGTGACCACACCTTTCTCTGGATGCCCCCCGCCCCCGCCCCAGCAATGAGCAGCTCTCAGGGCCCCACGCGCAGTAGGCCCACGGACTACGTGCTGCGCTCCAGGCGCAGAGACGAAGGGACAGATGGCCTGGAGCCGCCCAACAACAGAAGACCTCCCCCCGCTGCAGGACCGGGAGGCCTCTGATAAGAAGGGGCTGGCAGATGCCCACAGCTGTTTAAACCCTGAAGACAGATGTAAGGATGGAGAAGGCCCAGCGTGGTGGACGGGCCAGGAAGGCGGCCACAGGGAGTCAGGGGCCTGGGAGTGTGGCGAGTGCCTGGCTGCCCAGCAGAGGGCCCGACCTGGGCCGAGAACCTATGCTCCCCAGCTGGAAAGTGAATTCTGGAGCTGAGGATCCTGTGCGTGTTTCAGGTCAGGGTTGCGCTGGATGGCAGCATCTTAGTGGACGCTTAGCTGCAGCTGGGCAGTCTGGTGGGCGGCAGGGCTCTGTGACGGGGCAGCCTGGGCAGCTACTGCAGTACCATGGGGCTGCGGTGCGTGCCCTCCGCCTGGCCTGTGCACCCCTACGGGACCCACAGATGGCCCCACAAAGGTCAGGAGGGAGGTTGACAAGGCAGCTTCCTACACAGGCGAAGGAGATAAAACCGAAACTCAGTTCTGACTGCCTGTCTGATCGGAGTGAGGCTCACCCTCCACTCTGACTGCCCTCCACCTACCCCAGGACACCTCAGCAAACACCGTGCTGGACCCTTCCACAACCTTCCATGGAGTCATCCCTGCTGGAGGCTGGGCATGAAGGAACATGAGGTACAAGCGAACACACGTCCATGCGCTGCAACCCTTCAACCAAGTTGTTGGCGCTTTTATTCTCCCAAATGCCTCCCCTTTCCTTGGTTTCGCAAAGGTGGCAGGTGGCAAGGGGGCGAGGGGTGCCGTGCTGGCAGAGTCGGGTCCAAGTGGAGCATGGGGACGTGGGATGCCACACCGTGCAGAGCTGGAGCAAATGGAGTGCCCCCAGCCTTGTCTCAGAGCGGCCGGCTGCAGGGCCCCACGTGAGGCCTCTAGGGCAGCGTCCAGAGCACCCACGGCCCAGGGCTTCAGATTCGCACAAAGCATAGGGCTTTATTATTCTTTCTAAAGTAAGAAAGTAGACAAAGCCATTTGTTTCTCAACTCAGCAGCTCACCGAAACGAAAGCAAACCACAAGCCTGAGGACCCACCCTGGGCACAGGGAGATCACCTCAATGGGGTGTGGTCCCAGAGCCAGGTACCTGGGGAAACCCGGCCCAGGACCTCCCTGCCCAGCCCGGCCTGCTGCTCCCGAGGGGCAGGAGGGAGCTTCAGACCCCAAGACAGTGTGCCTGTGTCCCCCAATGCCCCACCATCACCCTACATTGAAAGTCATTATAGAATATAAATTTTGTGTCAAAAGGAAAAAATGAAATCTACCTAAATCCATGCAGGTGCGTGAGGAGGCTGAGGGACAGGCGAGGGGAGAGTCCTTAATGTGGCTAGAAATGCCCAAGGATATTTCTGGGAATTCCCTAAAAAAACCCAGGTGAGAACTGGGAGCCCCTCTCCTCCCACATCAGCAGGACGGCGGCCTTGGTCCCAGGCCTCAGACCAACCCCACTGAGGCCTTTTCTTCCTGTTAATGGCTCCGGGCACTGCCTGGGGTGTGGAAAGAGACAGACCCCTAGAAGATGCCCACGGCACGTGCACAGGGACAGTGGCAGCAGGGGCAGTCTGAGCCCCTATGTCCCTCGTCATCTCCATACTGGGGACAGACCAGGGGCCTGCCGGGGTTTCAGCAACACAAGTCAGGTGTCCGCATGGCTCATCTCAGAACCAGGAGGCAGATGGTCACCCCTCCCCGAAGACCGGGCTAACTATCTCTAGCCACACGTTCAGGAGAGCGAGGGGCAAGCACCCCCCATCGCCTGCCTCATGGGCCACAGTCGGCTCAGGCTGGGCCAGGACTCCGCGGATAAGACTGATGCCAACACACACTGGGGCACACCCCTCCACACTCTCGCTCCACAGGATGTGGGCTGGAGGTGTACACCGTCTGGAACTGTGTTATCCGCCGAGAAGCAGTGAATTCCTCTGTCTAGTGAGCCCCCTCACTGAGTTCATTTTGCAGAACCCTCTGGGCCGGTTCAGAAAACAGTGTTCGGTCACTGGTTCTCTGGCTTCCCCCGAGCAGGGCGGCAGAGGTGAGCAGAGCGGCAGAGGTGAGCAGAGCAGAGGGGGCCCCCCACTTCTCCAGGTTGGAGCTCGGGAACACCCGTCCGTGGGAGGTTTTGCTCCCGTGCCTGTAAGGTACTGCGTGTTTACGGAGCCCTCCTCTCACCTGAGGGGCTGGAGGGGAGGCTATGGGCACTCAGGGCCCGGCAGCACCAGCCTCTGGGGGCCCCTCTCACCCGGGGGACTTCAGATGCGTCTGTCACTGCACCAAATAGCCCACCTCAAAAGCAGGGTCCAGCCAGAATGAAAAAATAAGCCCATGCTCGCTAGGCGTGTTTACAGCCAGCCCCCACTGCCTCCACCTTGAAAGAGGAGGGTTTGGGGTTGGGAATGGCACATACGTCAGGATACACGACGGACACCGGACAACGCGCAGCCTTATTCAGAGGAGATAAAATATTCACCAGGACCCAGCCCTGTTTTCAAATGATTATAAATTATTTTAACAGTGCATTTGCAAAGGGTTATAAAAACAGCCATAATATATTTTTTTCCTTAGATTCTAGAATTACCAGTGTGACAGCTAATGCAATAATGATTTGTTTCAAATGCCAGTGTTTAAGCTGTATAAAGCTGATTTTATACATTTTTCCAGTAGGCCGCATTGTAGTTAATGAAATTAAACACACCAATCGCATTTGTCCCCAGGGGACGAGGAACTGAACACACCACTGGTTTATTTTTTTATTAAAATAAATTGCAGCCGGCAAGACGGACTAATTGCATACAGAATTGAAAAAGCAACATTCCATTGATATAATTAAGCCAATTTTCATGGACAGAAATAGTTATAGTGGATATAAAATAAGCAAAGCCTTCACCAGATTCTGACTTCCCTCCTGTTTTGCACAGAATGTTAACTATTAAACAAACATGGAGTGGGAGCTCGGCACTCCTATCTGCGAGCCCAGAGAGGACATCATTCCTCGGGGTCTCGGGAGAGGCCAGACCCCAGAGGATCTGATGGCAAAAGCCCGACACAGGAGAGTGGCCAGAGGAGGAAGAGGCTGGCCTGCGTTGCCCTGTGCCCACGAGAACTGGGGGGCACTAGCCGGCCCAGAACTGCCACCACGGCCCTGGCCATAGTCTGCGAGGTGCCCACACTTGAGGAACAGCAGCCGGCTCAGGCAGGACCGGCAGCTGAGCTGCCAGCTCCTTCCGCCCTGTGGTCAGCTCCACCTCTCCCTGATTGTCTAAGGGGAGGGGCAGAGATGATTTCCCTCCAGACTTGGGGTGCGGGTGGGAGGGTGAGCAGACAGGTCCTGCACCTCCTGAATTCACTCAGGTTAAAAGCACCAAGTGGGGGATGCGGGCCAGTGGTGGGCACGTCCGCTCTTCTGCACCTGCTCTTGTTGGACGAGGACACCCAGACCAGGGGCTGGAGAAACCGGAGCCAGGCCTCCTGCCTGCTGGTGGGGTCAAGAGCGGAGAGTCCAGACCTGGGAGCAGGAAAAACCCAGGCTGCAGGAGGCTGAGTTGCGCTCACAAGCTGTAAGCACAGTGGTGATGTCTTGCTTTTTAAGAACAGACCTGTTACAAGCCTAGCACTGGCCTTGGGAAAATGTTTAAGCCCAGACACATTTTTAAAACTCCTGTGGAAATACCTGCAGCTTGCAGTGTGGTGGTGGAGGGGCTGCTAAACAAGAAACCGGGAGGGCTTCATGGAGGCGACTTTCAGTTTCTCCCTCAGCTTGCTGTGTGACCTGCATGGGTTCCTTGACCTCTCTGTCGCTGTGCCTTGGTTTTCTTACCCCTTAAAAATGGTGCCAGATACGCCACACTCCACCCTCCTAAGGGTCAGTGAAGGGGGATAGGGCCATGCCTTCCACACGAACCATGGGCTCCTAGAAGGGAACCTTGACCTTCTCGTGGAGGCTGCCCCATGGACAGGGGCAGGGCCAGGGGCGGCGGCTCTGGCTCAAGCTGCAGCCCGCACTGGCCTCCCCAGGGAGGCAGGTGCGTGGAGCGAATGCCGGGGCCCACACATCACCTCGGGGCGAATCCCGGAGGTGGGGGTCGATCCCGGGAAGCCCAACCTCCACCCTCGGCCTCAGTCCCCTCCACACCGTCTCCCCCGCCCCCACTGCCCGTTTAGACCCAGGCTCCCTCCCGCTCAGGTCCGAGAAACGACTGCGAACGGAACATGGGCCTGCCGCCCCGCGGAGCCTGGGCCAGGGTCGACAGTCGAGGGGTCGAGGAACCCACCCTTCTCTGTCCAAGAAGTCCAGAGACAGAGACTCTTGGGGCGGGACGGCCGCCCTGGAGGTGGAGGGCGCTGTGCCCGCGGGGCCGGGGTCAGCGGTGCCTGCGCGCCATCGCCGTGAGCCCGCGGCCGGGTGTAGACGCGGGCGCAGCTCGCCCCGCGCGTAGCTGGCCGCGACCTGGTGCGCGGAGGGCCGGCAGCCGCTGCGGCGACCATCGGCTCGGCTGGAGGCGCTGGGCCCGCGCTGCCTGGAGCCCTGCGCCACGCGAATCCGCGCGCGCGGCCACCGCTACACCCGCAGCGAGGCCCGGCGCTCCCTTCGTTGCGAGAAGTTTCCTCTCCCTCACGGGGACGGCGCCCTGCTGCTCCTCGTCCTCCTGCGCCGGCGACACGAGCTGTCGTCTCCAAGACTCGTTACACGGGTTTGATTCAAAACCTGATAAATTGTATTTAGCACTATTTGAAATTTTTAAACGAAATTACTCAAAAGATTTTTAATCCTGGATAATTTTTGTTGAAACTCTAATTATACATCACCTTAATTACCAGCCCCAGCCCCCCAAGGATCCTTAATTGCCTCTTAATTGAATAAAACAGGGGGCTAATCACACCCAAAGTGGCCCAGAGAGCTGGCTGGCCTCTCCCAGGAGCCCGGTGGGGGGAGTCCTCCCTTCCCCGCCCACCACCAGCACCCAGCCTCTCAACAGAAAAAGGTACCAGGTCCCCTGCCCTGGGCTCTGCTCAGAAGGGGGACCCAGGGTGCGGGAGCCGCAGGCTGGACGGTGGGGGAGGCCTAGCCCGCACCTGCTCTGCGACAGTGGCACACAGGAAAAGCAGGCGGCCCTGGACGGGCTTTGGGTGTTTGGGGACCCTAGCGTGCAGCCAGTGCCCTGGTCTGGGGACCCCGCCAGGATGTCACTCCACAAACAGGATTTGGTACCCCCCTGCCTTCCTCTCGGAGGCCCCCTGCCATGGCACACCCACCAGCCGGTGGTGAAATCCGCCTTCTGGGCCTCTGCGCACCGCGGCGGGGCACCTGGCCTTGGCCGGCAGCCCTGCACCCCGCCCCTCCACCACCTCCTCCGCGTTTTCGCCCGAAGCGGGCTAGACGTTCCGGTCCCACCAGACAGTTCCTGGCGCTGCTGCCCTACCAGGCGTCCAAACAGGAGGCTGCTGCCCAGCTCCAGGCAGAGGACTGGCGGAAGGGCAGACTTCCCCGCGGGTGGGAGAAGGGCAGGGGCCAGCAGAGAGACAGCCTGGCCTGTTTCGGCGGGGAGAAGGAGGGAGCTGAGAGCTCGGCCTCCAGCCCGGCTCCCCCGCCCTACACACACCTTCCTCTTACACATCACCCTGGGACACACACACACACACACACACACACACACACACACATCTAGCAGAGGTCGCAGCCCCCACCCCCACCCCAGGGGCCAGGCGGCATCATCCAGAGGCCACCATCCGCAGACCTAGGATATGTAGTGTCTGACACCGTGGGATCTGTCACCTCCACAGGGACTAGGCCTCAGGAGCTGCTCCGATGGAGCCCCTGGCTGGGCACAGTCTCTTGGGGCCCATCCTTCCCTGCACAGAGGTCAGGAGGGCACCGCAACCGTGCCGACCCCCCACCTGCACACCTGGCTCACAACAGAGGCAGCAACACAAAGCTTTTGTCAGGCATTTTGTTTTTAAATGTTCCGCAGGGACAGCCCTATTTCCTCAGGCCAGCACTGCCCCAGCCTGTGTGAAGGGACGCTGGACACCACCTGTCCTCACTCTTAACCCCTGTCTCCCAGGCCCAGGTTGAGGAGGTGGTGGGTATCCAGTAGCTAAATAGCAGCCCAGGCCTGGATGCCCCAATGGCCTCTGCCCTTGGAAAGCTCAACGCGGAGCCCAGCGTGGGACCTTAGCGTGCAGGCCCAGAAAGAGAGACCCCCTGGAGTGGGGTCCTGGGGAAACACAAACGAAATTACAGCCCCAGGTGCACCCTCTGGTGCAGCCCCCCAAGCTCAGAGTCAGGCGGTCACACCCACCCACCTGGTCGTCCTTCCCTGCCCAGCCCATGGCTGGGGACACAGCCCAACCCTGCACACGGGCCTTGTAACTACGCCCTCTCCCCCAGTCCCTGGCCCTGGCCATGATGTGGTCTGCAGGCGGAGGTGCTGTTGGAGGCCCTGAGCTGCCCTCTGTCTGAGATTCAGGTAATAGAGTCAGGTCCCCAGGGACATCCACATCTGCTTAAAATATTGTCCACTGAAATGCAACTCCTCAGCGGATCCTGTGCTCTGTGTCAGGCAGGCAGCCGCGTTTCTGTGCCTGCCTCAGCCACCACCTTGTTGGGGAAGGCTCGGGGCAGTGGTCCCAGCTGTGGGGCCCAGGAGGGAGGGGTCCCCAGGCTTTGCCCTAGTGTGGGCTCCAGCTGGTCTGGGCCTGACAGACCTGCTGGTTTGTGCTTTTTCTCAATAAAGATTCACAGCAAGGGGAAACCTGTGCTCTGCCCTACCCTTGGTCCTGTCCTCTGGCCTCCACGCTAGGCTGCAGGAGGCTGCCAGCCACTATCCAGGTCCTGAGCAGAGCCTGGCCTGGGCAACCGTCCCCACCTGGCAGAGGTGGGGCAGGCAGGGAGCTGAGGGCCCGCGCGGTGGGCAGACTGGCGGCCTGCTGGGGGCATGGGAAGTTTCCGGCCGCAGGGCACTCTGCGCCGCCACTCGCTTGCAGCGAAGACCAGGAGAGAGTGGCGACTTTCCACTTTCTTGCTCCAACTTCAGGGCCTTCCTCAGAGACAGCCTGACCCAGGAGGCTGGCAGCCTGAACCGATACTCTGAGAAGGCCCACAGCGTACACACAGACCCCAACATGCACACGAACACGCACACCTCACGGCCCCGCGAGCAGTCAGGTAGCGCGTGTACAGCCGGGCCAACCCCGCGCCGGGGGCCCTGTTCGCACCAAGAGGGGCCAGAGGTTACGGGGGCGGGGAGAGGCTGAGGCCAGGAGCGCCCGGCAGAGGACACTGGCAGCAAAGCGGCGGCGCCTTCACGGAGGGCCCCAAACGCCCCCGGCGGAGCGCAGGGGCGTCCCGCTTAGGCTGGGCGCTGCTTTTCCCTGGAGAGGCAGACACGCGGCCTACGACTGCGGGGTCGCTGTCGGGCCGAGCCGCGCGAATACCGAACCCGAAGAGCAGAACTTCTTCCCAAAACTGCCGGGAGTTTCGCGCCCAGCGGGCTCACGCTGGGGGTTGGCCCTGGGTGCTGCGAGGCCCGGCCGGTCAGGCCCGGGCGGAGCGGGCCGAACTGCCCGGTGGTCGTGCGGGGATCCCAGGGGGAGCAGGACGCGCGCCCCTTCCGCCGGCGGGCTGGCGGCCGGCGGAGAAGCGGGCGGCGAGGACAGGAGTTGCCGATTCCGCTCCGCGCGGCGCTCGCCGCTTCGCTGCAGCCGGGCCTCGGCCGGGGCTGCGGGAGCCGCACTCTCCCGGCCGCGCCGCCGTCCCCACCTGCACGCCACTCGGGCCCGCGGGCCTCGCGGCCGATGGCGCCGGCGCCGGGGCGCGGAGAGCGCACGGGTGGCCCCGAGGCGCAGCGGCGGGCGGTGGCGCGGGCAGCGGGAGCACCCGGCCGGCGGCGAGGACCCGGAGGCGGAGGGCTGGGCGCGCGCAGCCCGGGGCTCGGCCCGAGACGGAGCGAAAGAGAAAGTAAGGCCGGGAACCGGGCAGTCTCGCCGCGGGCAGCTCTGTGCCCGCCGGGCCTCACGGCCGTGCCGGGCGAGCGGGCGCGGGCGGGTCCGAGCAGGGCTGAGGGCGGCGGCGGCCGCGGCGGGTCGGAAGGCGGCCGGCTGGGGACACTCCTGCCGGCGGCACCGGCGCCCGGGCGGCCCGCGTGGGCGACGGAGTCACAGAGGAGCGCCCTCCGCCGCGCGGGACACCAGTGGGAATAAACTTCACGGCCATAGTTCCAAGCCCAGGAAAAACGTCTCCATTTTGCTTCCCAAGTGGCTGAGGCGGTCCTGCCGTCGCCACCCGAGCCCTAGCGCCCGCGGAGCCGGTGGGCGCCGGCCCGCGCCCCCTCCTCCGCCCCCTCCCCGGCTCGGGGTCTCCCTCCTCTGCGCCCGGCTGGCCGACGCCAAAGGCGGTGCTCTAGCGCCCACTATTTCAAAAGCCCGGAATATGATTTGACCAGGACTGAGAGCCACTCGGAGAGAGAGAGCGAGCGAGCGAGCGAGGAGGAAAAAGTTGCTCTCCCCTTTCGTCAACTTTTCGCTAACTTTCGCTTTTCGCTCCCTTCCACCCC